GGGGGCAGGGGCAGGAGGGGCCGGGGCGGCTCCCACGGGCACGTCGGGGCTTTTCTCTTCCCCCCCTTTGTCAGCCCGGTGAACAGCAAGGACAGTCTGAGCATGAACCTGTTCACAGTAAACTCCATAAGCTGAATCTGAAGATCGTGGCCTGTAGCAAAAGTATTTATCTTTAGAGGGGTTTTGAATGTTATTTGACTATGTTGTTTCTTTGCAGAAATAGTAGAATTTCAAAAGATAGTGGGCAGCTTAATTGAACTTGTTGATCAACTGGCAAAAGCTGCAGAAACTGAGAAGATGAAGGTATTGTGCAATTCATTACTGGCTTGTCGTGCTCTGCATGAAAAACCAGGTCTCTCCTTCCTTCTTTGTCAGCCTAAGGACTCCTTGTCTGTCCCTCTGTGCACTTACTGTCTGTCTGAAGTATAAATTCCCAGGACTTTAATTGATACTAACATCTGGAAGACTTTTACAGGCACACTGAGTGTCACCTTGCTCTTGCATTTAACAGTCCTGCTGGTGCTGCTTATCTACATGTTTGCACATACACAGAGCCTGTATTTTTTTAATAACTTCTTCCACTTAGAGCTTTGTCCTTAAGAGGCTTGAGAGGCTCTGTGAGGAGGAGGAAGACTTTCTAAAGACCAGATCAGTGAATATAACTCTATAATAATAATAATAATATAATAATAACTCTATAACTACCTCTGAAATATTCTTTATGTATTTCTGTGTCACCAAGTGCTGTGGGGTTTTTTATGTTTTAGCATGGAAACAGAAATGAATGTTCAGCACAACTGTGGGTCATTGTTTTTTTCCTTATTTGCTCAGGGTAAAAAAACTCCTAACCAGAGCTGGTCTGTAGGAGCAGTCAGTGCTCAGCTTGGGCTCCCAGAGGAGCCAGGGACTCTGTGCCCTGGGTTTGGATGAAGTCTCAAATATCCTTCCCCTGCCCAACTTCTGCAGGCACTCTGCCTGTCTCCAGTGTTCAGATGTCACCCTCCTTCACTGCTAGCATGCCTGCAACATTGCAAAATCAACCTGCTCATAGTGAAGGGATTAAAAAAGCTGGATCCCAGTAGGTGCAGGTCCCTGACCCTCTGTTCTGACAGGCCATCGGGGCGCGGAACCTGCTCAAGTCCATAGCCAAGCAGAGGGAAGCTCAGGAGCAGCAGCTCCAGGCTCTGATAGCTGAGAAGAAGATGCAGCTGGAAAGGTGAGTTTGTCCCACACTTCTGGTGGTGACACAGGCTGGAAGGTCCCTCTCAGGAGCTGTGTGAGGCTGCAGGACATGACCCTGCAGAGCAGTGACTGTGGCTGTTCCTGCAGGTACCGGGTCGAGTACGAGACGCTGTGTAAAACTGAAGCAGACCAGAACGAGTTCATTGACCAATTCATTTTTCAAAAATAGAGGAGTTTTCCGATGAAACCAGCCTCACTTGGAAACTTGATCATTCCAGAATCTTGAAGACTTAAAAAATATGCAATTTTTCACTGTGTATGAGTGATGGTTTGTACAAATGGAAGTGTCTTAATTCGGTGTGAATCACACTACAAGTGGCAATAAGGGGGAGGCAAAGACTGTTCTGTCCTTTGATTTTATACAAGTTTTGTACAGTTCTAATTCAGATTATAGTGGAATTAATGCTACTCTTGCTATGTTTTGTCCCTCACTTTTTGAAGTGTACAGCTCTTTCAAAGAAATTGGGAAATAAATTATTGTTTGCAGACTTTCTGGAGTTACCAGAATTAGTTCATACTGCCACGTTATTTTTGAGCTCAGAAGTTTACAACTCCCTGGCCAGTTGGAATGAGTTTCCTGAATAGACTGTCCTTCATGTCTGTGAAGATACAGCACAGAAGCAGCAGTAACTGTAGCATCTGTACTGACCAGATTTTTTCTGTAGAGGTAGGAGAAATCCCAGAAATTAATGATTAACAGAATAGATCAATTGCAGACACACAAACCAGCAGAAACCACAGCAGAATTACAAGTTTTATGCCTGAGGTGAGTTTGTGCAGGTTGTGACATTGGAGAACTCTTCCATGGGTGCTGGTGGTGCTGGAAGGAATGAGACAAACCACCCGGGGTGGCACCACTGGCATCAGGGGTAGGTAGAAATGGTGAACAGAAATGTGACACTTAACAAACCTGTGATCTGAGATCACAAAAATGTGTTTTGTTCTCTCTTCAGAATGACATGGAGATGTTGGCCTTCCCAAAGCTGTGGAAGGTTTGCATTTTGTACTAGTGAAGCCCTGGAACACCCAGGCAGTGCCTGAACAGCCTCCTCAGTGCCCTGTCCCCTCACACCAGTTTGATTCTTGTTGAGAACTTAAAAATACAAACCCAAAACCCCACCAGCCCTGGATTTCTGTCAGCCAGAGGTTTAATTTACTTGGGCAGCTATTTCCTGTGTGAACTATCTACAATCTCCTGGTCATTTAAAGATCCTTTTAGTCATTCTCATAAGAAGATCAAGTGCAGTTTAATGCATTTAGTGTTTTATTTCCATACTAGGAAGTGATTTCATGGAAGAGAGAGGTTTACAAATCCTTGTGTACTCCTCAAGTACTTCAGAATCCTGTAGGCAGTAGGGCTCATGCCCAAAGAAAGTTCACTTTATGCATTCAGAAACCCAGATTTTGGCACACTTCATCACTGATCACAGAGTTACAATTAATGAAAAGTGAAACAGAGCAAAGGAAGGAAAGATGATAAAGGAAGGAGTGAGGAAGTTAAGAAATGCTTCAGAAGCCCAGCCTTGCAGATTGGCGTGTCATCAGTTAGGGATTTTGCAGAATATGCTCATGGAAGGCAAATTGCTTAGGTGGTTTTCTAACAGTCATCTTGGAAAAGGGAACTGGTAAGCAGAGAACCAGCTGTGGTTCCCCCTGGCAGGGGCACCCCCTGAATGGTCACTGGGTGCTCTGGCCACGGGGGGCACAGCCCCTGCCCACAGCTCTGCCAAAGCTGCTGCTGGTGACAGGAGAGTTGTGCTCTCAGACCAATTCCCATTTCCTTCTGGGAGCCAGAGGCTCTGGTAACAGCTGTTGCAGCCAACACCAGGGGACAGGTGATGGTCCCAGGGGAGCAGGCCACGACCCCACCACAACCCAGTGTCTGGGGCTACTTCCGTTTCCTCTTCTCTGCCTGGTTGTAGTGGGGGTGGCAGAGCATGGTGCAGAGCAGCAGCAGGGGCACCAGCAGGTAGGGCAGGTAGATGGAGAGCAGGACCAGGCGCTCCCGCTGCGTCCGGGGGCCCGGGTGCTCCGACTTGGAGAAGTCGTGGAACAGGATGTGTGCCAGGATGGCAAACAGAGTTGTAGCCACGTGGGTGGAGTAGATAATGGCAGGAGTCCTGATCCACCTGCAGCCACCTGTACAGGAACAAAAAGGAAAAGATACTGAAGTATTTTGAAACAAGCAGAATCCAGTGGGTTTTACACCAGCAGGTTAAGGGCCACGTCTGACACGAGCCAGAGGCACCTCACACGGGCAGCAGGAAGAACAAGAACCAGCAGCAAATCAGAAGAATTCTCTGCCTTTGTGGAGGTTTAGAAGGAGGGTGTGATCTCAAAAGTTTTAAAGTAACAAAGTGAGTCCACAGGGTTGACCCAGAGCTTTATCTACAAGGGGAGTGTGACACAGCCAAGTGTTGATGCTGCCTCATAGAACTGGCTGCAGTGGAGAAGGGCCTGTGGTCATGGTTTGGTTTCTGACTGACCCTAGTTCTGCGCTGCTTTCTCAGACACAAATGGAAAGAGCCCAGCACTCCACTCCCTGTGGCACACCCCTATGACTGCTTCAGGCTGAACAGTAACTTTGCTGCTGCACAGAAAGCAGCTGTGATGCAGAAACACTGCACGGGAGGTGTCCTGGCAGGGGGTCACACCAGGAGCACTGCATGGGAGGTGTCCTGGCAGGGGGTCACACCAGGAGCACTGCACAGGAGGTGTCCTGGCAGGGGGGTCACACCAGGAGCACTGCACGGGAGGTGTCCTGGCAGGGGGTCACACCAGGAGCACTGCACAGGAGGTGTCCTGGCAGGGGGGTCACACCAGGAGCACTGCACGGGAGGTGTCCTGGCAGGGGCTCATACCAACCTTTGAGGAAGGCGTAGGCTGCCACGGGGAAGAACGGCAGCTGCAGGAAGGCTTCACAGTACATGAAGGCCTGAAACCACTCTGGGGGCTGCAGCATCATGGGGTCTCTGAAGGAGGCTGCATACCCCTGCAGCACCTCTGTCAGCTGCCAAAAAGAACAAAACAGGTTCACCCTGGATGGGGAAACTGACCCTCCCCTGGTGGGGAGGTGAGGGCTGGGAAAGTGAAGTGACCTCCTGGCACGTGAGGCTTCATTCACTCTGCAGCTCAGTCTGAGCAGGCACCAGGCTTCTCAAGTCTTGAAAGCAATGAGCCCTTTCAAGTGACCATCCCATTCCATTAGGCATTGATTAAATTTGCACTACAGGCAACTTCAGGATTGCTACACCATAAAGTGCAGTTGCTTTCCAAAAGCTATTCCTGAAATGCCATTTCCCACCAGAAAAAAAAACACCCCAACGACAAGAGTTCTGCACCTTGACATTGGTAGGTACTGAATAACTTATTTTCCTCCTTCTGATGCTCCAGGTGCCAGCTGAGATGGGCTCAGTGTCCCTGGCAGGTCCCACCCAGCCCAGAGGGGCCGGGGCAGCACACTGAGCCCTTCCCCAGGTGCTGGCTGCTCCAGCTGCTGGATGGCAGGGTTTTGGCTCAGGGACTTGCAATTAGTTTCCATGACAGAAATGTAAATTCCAGCACAGCTTTAAGTTGGACTTTGAACGCAGAGATATGTATTGAGATTTGCTAGTTAACTATTAATTAAAAAGGGTTTATATCATGGAGTCATTCTATAGGCAATTCTAATGGCAAAAATGAAAGGCTCTAGGTGTGCAGCTGGGGCAGGGAGCTGTGGCTGAGCTCACCCTCCTGAGAGCTGAGCTGATTAGCTTTTATCCAGCTGTTGTTTTAACCGGCTTTGTTGCGTTCATTGTCTTCTATAAGCTTATCCAAAACCCACCAAACCGGAGATTTTTACACAAAACCGTGGCTGCCGGCACGCCCTGCTTCTGCCGGGGAACAGCTCCCTGTACGTTTTTGGGGGGAGCGCGAGCAAAGAACCGGGACCCGCGCGACCGAGGCCGCCGCGGCCGCGTCCCGGGCACGTGGCGGGTCCGGCCCCGCC